TTAGGATGTGTTAAATCTGACTTGAGACCTACCCAGGATGATCTTTCTTTTCCTTGGTGGTAAACTATGCACATTCTAGAATCCTGAAAAATATTTTTCCTTGAAGATAAATACATACAACCAACATTCTTAAAAATAATCAAGATGGTTCCTCTTGTAACAGATTCTCTACAGTATTATCCACAACAACCAAAATCCACAAAACAGTGAGGCCTCTGGGAAAAGGCATGAGGGTTTCTTTTGAAACCTTTAGAAGAATGACAGAATTAAAAGACATTCTGTTTTCTGTGATTGTATCTACATGATTTACCTCATAAAAAGGAAACGGCTTTATTAAAAAGGTATACCTTAATTAGGTTTTTCTTGATTGGCATCCAAGGTAATCAGGTGTGTCCTTTGGATTATAGTACTGATGAAGTTATCAACTGCCTAGAAAGAGCTCACCATCAAAATGTTGTTTTATCTAGGGAGAGAAAGAAGTTCTGAACTCCACAGTGTAGTACAGCCTCTTCAATAAAGACTTAGGTTCATTGGCTTTCTATCTGAGTTCTAGTAAGTACTGGAGAAAATTTTCACTACGAGGGACAAAACCCACCCACTGCTGTCAAGTCGATTCCAGCTCATAGTGACCCTATAGGACAGTGTAGAACTGCATAGGGTTTCGAAGGCTGTAAATCTTAACGGAAGTAGACTGCCGCATCTTTCTCCTAGGGAGCGGCTGGTGGATTCAAACTGCTGACCTGTTGGTTAGCAGCTGAGCACTTTAACCACTGCGCCTCTAGTGCTCCTCCAGGATGGACAGATCACCTTTATGTTGAAAATGAATATTTAATTGGAAGATAATTGTTTAATATGATTGGGGACATCTGAGGGCAGATTAGGTGATTTTGAACATAGGATTTCTCTGGAATTAAAATGTATGAATCATGGCCAAAAGGGAACTTGTCTAAGCATTCAGGGGTCTGTTTTTCTGCATTTAGACTAGTGTTCAGACAGACTGGAAATGAATAAATGTATAGTGACAAATAGGATGTATAGTCTGAAGGAATAGTAGACTTGTAATTAATTCAAAGGGGAGGTGAAGAGAAAGGCTAGCAATAGTTGGGGTTAAGTGAGGGATCTCTGAAGAATTGACATTAAACTGAGACTGAAGGCAAGTGAGAATGGAGTGGGAAAGTGTGTGGGGGGTGGAGATCAAGGATGACAGTAGCGTTCAGTGTAGAGATGTTTAGCAGTGTTTAATTGTATGTGGTACTGATAGGGCATGTAAAAGATCAATTCTTGTTTGCTTGATAAAGCCATTAAGATTGGAGAGTAGAGGAGTGATATTTATATTTTGGGGATTAGAGATAATGTCCTGTGATATATTTCACTTTAGTTGCATGTAATTTTACAGATAGAGATGATACCTCAGAAGTGAAATCCAAACGAGTTCCGTCGCTTTCGATTTAGAGATAGCAATGAAGAATTTGAAGCCATTGAATAAATTTCTGAGAGTACTAGGAGAGTGTATACAAAGAGGGAGACGGGCTGAGAGTGAATTTGGAGACATTCTAGTACTTTTATTTGAAGAATTCTTTGCAGAGGACATGAGGAAAGAGTGACTAGAGTAGTCTGAAGACAGGAAAATGAGATATCAGAGAAGCCTAGGAAAATATTAGTTCTCAAAAGGTCATAGTTCAGTTGTTTCCAGGTAAAAGCCTGAGATACACTCATTGGATTTGCTTATGGAGACATTATTGCCAATGTTAGCAAGATACATTTATGAGGAGATCGTTGGTGATCTTAGTAACTCAGGGTGTGAGGGGGATGTGAAGAAATGGTGACTGCACTTTCAGTTTGATTGTGAAGGAAGGAACAAGAGAGCAAGGGGTGCTTGTTTCAAGATGGAAGAGACATGAGTTCCAATGATGAAGAGGAGGACTGTGAAGGGAGGGAGAGGTTGCTAATAAAAGAAGTTTAATTTCTAATCAGTAATATATTTCCCGCCTGGACTGTGTGCATAAATACACACCAGTTGCCTCAAAATTACAAGCAGTGATAAGACTGCTGGAATGAGGACTCTTACCCGATCTGATTGCATTGTACGCAGAGGATACTTAAACAGTATTGACAGTTGAAAGCTGTTACTGTCATTTATAGAAGGTAGATAGTAAACAGCAAAAGCAGATTACTAATAGAAAGCAAACAGTAAGCAACAGGAACAGATTTGAGGTGCCCTCTGCTCCTACAAGTACCCCATTTAGCATCATAGAAGAGGAACCCATTTAAGTCTAAAAAGGGATCTACTTACCCTTCCCAAATTACCCATGTCCATTTCTTTGCCGCTGAATAAGCATGCCATGGACCAAATTTCAGAAGATGTCTACCTCAGCAGATGAGTTGTCAGGTCATATCTTGTGCAGCATGGCTGTTTCGTTCTCTCTCTTCCTCTGTGGCTTTTCTTGGGTAGGTCTGGTCCCCTGTGCCTGCTGGTACAGTTCTCAACCAGCAGCTTTGGGACAACCGTGGGCCAGTGCCAGGATTAGGCAGGCATTATGACAGGTCTCGAGGCAGAACTTTTACAAGTGACTCCTATACAGGATATGCCTGTGCTCCGTTAATGACCTCTTCTCCAGCAGTGCCCAGCTCCCCGATGATCTCTTGCCCAGAGGTGCCCAGCTCCACTCCATGGGCCAACTCACCCAACGCTGCCGTCTTCTCCGTAGGCTGACTCTGCCCACCACTGCCATCTGTCAGTCTCATTCCTGCCACCTGTACTGCTGGCACGATTTCTTTGCCTCTTGGATCTGCTGTACTTGCTGCAGTTTCTCTTGGTGTTCAGTGTTATCAGCTCACTGTTACAGCCTTTGACCAGTATTACTGCTCTTTTATTTGGGATGAGCAGGTTCTCAGCACAGGGGCCCCAGGTCCAAAGGACACACTCCTCTCAAGGCTCTTGTTGATAGAAGTCCCAAAAATTTCTGTGTGATTGGCCAGTTATAATTAAACACTCCGTCAGTTTCAGGGCATGACTTTCATAAACCATCCAATTCCTTAGGTGGATCATAAATTGACCAATCTTATTGGGTGGATTTGCAGACCTCTTACGGGAATAGTAAACCAACCAATCCCTACAAGCCACTTTTGTGGATAGTAAACCCACCAATCCCTGCAAGCCTCTTATGCGGCTAGCAAACCAACCAGTCATTTTGGGAGAACTACGAACCAAAGGCTAGAAAAGCCACATAAAAGAAAACCCATTGCAGCACACTGATAAAACAGGAAAGAAGGGCTCAGTCAGAAACATTGGACTTAACCGGGGGTAGCGATGACTCTTCAGTTTAATAGAAGGAATAACCAGTGGATGTGAATGCAAGAATATTTGTAGATATTTTGGTGATAAACTATAAGGTAATCTGTTAAATTATGTCATTCTTGTGGTTAGTAGGAGTTAACCCCTTCTATTGAAAACGAGAAAAGGTGAGGATGAGATTCAAAAGGCATGGAGAAGATTTGAATTATTTTATGGGGCCTGGAAAACGATTTCATTAGCAAGACATAGTAGAATTATCAGATATATTTGAAAGACACTAGGCGTGGTGACTCTGCTTAGGCCAGGAACAATATCCTAGTCATGGTCTCTGTCAGATGCAGTCATGGAAGAGGCAAGTATTTAGTGTCATCCTCTGTTGGCTTCTTTGATGGTTAAAATTGTGTGTCAACTTGGCCATGATTCTCTGTGTTTGCATGTGATCACTCCCATGATCAAATCTGCTGTGAGTAGCCAGTCAGTTGAAAGGGATTTTCCTTGGGGGTGTGGCCTGCATCCGAATATAAGCTAAGCAACATTCTAGCTTTTTGCTCACTCTGGATTCTGCAGCTGCCTCCTGTTCATCTGACCTCCAGTTCTGGGGACTTGAGCTATCAGCTTATCTGCCGATCTTGGGATTCATCGATCTTCGCAGCCTCTGAGTGGAGCCCTGCTCTCCACCCTGCCCATCTTGGTTTACCAACCCCTGCAGCTACGTGAATCAGGAGAAGCCTTGTGATCTTGGCCCCAGAGGACATGCTTACCCTCTGGAAAACAGAATGGCCATTCTCTTTGACCCAGAAATTCCCTTGCGCCACTCTCTTCCAAAGCCTTTATTGGCTTCATCCCATGGCCATGATCTATTGCATCATGCCTCGAGAGGCTTAGTGTCTTCCCCCAGGTGGTCTGGCTCTCAGAATGGCCACTCTCTTTGACCCAGAAACTCCCTTGTGGCACTCTCTTCCAAAGCCTTTATTGGTTTCATCCCGTGGCCATGATCTATTACATCATGCCTCGCAAGGCTTAGTATCTGCCCGCAGGTGGTCTGGCTCTTGGAATCCCAGAACAAAGGGCCAGATTGCTTTCTGCACCTCACAGTTGAACAAAGCTATCATAAAATAGATTCTTAAGTTGCTTGGTTTATATCCAAATCCATGGGTCAGATCTAAAAGTCAGGGTTGAGGGAGTAATCTAGAAACCCTGTGTGGAGGAGCCAAAATGATTCAGGGCAAGTGTATCTAGGGGGACAGGGTCAAGGAAGAGGAGGACTGTTGTGAGGCTCCAGAGAGCTGGGCTGGATGTTGGAGAACCATTGCTGGTGCGTAAATGAAGAATAATGAAATCTAGGAAATACTATAGTGTTTATCTGGGTATAGAGACCAAAACCTATTTGTGTCATAAGTCTGAGATTCCTATGTTTTAGAATTAGGGAATTGAAAACCTCTAAATATCATGGGAGAATTAACTTATAAAGCTCAGTGAGCTTCCTGTTTTTGTATGTAAGATATCTGTGTTTGCATCTTTTTTGTTAGCCACAATAACAGTAGTCTCTTTTGCTTTGACCAAGTCCTCTCCCTATTTCTCTTAAAGCACGGTGCATGTTCCTGTTATCTGGAACCTTCTCAGATGAAGGTCTGGAGTTTCATGATGATAGGTCTGGTTATTGTGGACAAGACTGGAGTCTCATGGCTTCTTTTTCCATCCTCAGCTTTGCCTGCTTAGTGCTTGGACTGTTTGTGAGTGAAAACCCAGAGGAAGACCACTGGCAGCTGAGCTATAGACAATGCAACCACTGGTGAGTAGGGAATTCTTTTTTCTACTGAAATTCCACCTCTGTTGCCAGCAGATGGGCAGATTTCTCCTTTTGGCCTGACTCTTCTGAATGGACTCATGAACTGTTCAAGTGTCTTAGCTCTGATAAGTGTTCTCAGAACTCTAGGATATTTATGTTGGGTCAGGGTTTCATGGAAGTAATCTCTTCCCAACATTTACACTAATTTGTTCCAACCTCCAATAAGTCTGTGTATTCACAGAAGAGATGAGAGAGGTTTTCTCTTTTTCTCATTCAGCCCATGTCCTCATTGGGGAAATAATTCATTCATTGGCCACGTTATTGGGTGAGATGGGCTTAGGATTGTGGTGAATATAGGAGATAGATATGAGTGAGAGCAAAACCTTATACTCCAGGAGGGAGTCAGGTGTTTTCAGCAGGTGAGGTCAGTCAAGCCAGTATCACAAGTGCTGGGGTGTGGGCTGTACAGTGTTGAGGGGAGCCCCAGAGAGTTAGGCCAGAGAAGGCAATGAGGAATCATTTATTTATTTTCCCCAGTTTTAAACTTACTAATGTGTTGATAGAATATATGTGAACATTTTTAAACCTTCTAAAAAAAGATAACAGAAGTTTTCGTCATCAGTGTTGTCTCCAATCATCCATTTTCCCTCCTTGTAACTAAATTTATTCAAATTGAATAACTGAAAACAGCATATATATATATAAAAACCCGTTGCTGTTGATTCTGACTCATAGTGACCCTATAGGGTGTATTATTTCCATAATTTTTGGCTGTGCATTCAGGATAAGGAGTATAGTAGTTCAGTTAATTTTAGACCCTTTGGAAATTTTGAGGAACCAAAGAGATCAGAGCCAATCAAGAAGGTAATTTTTTTTAACCTCGAGCATAGAGACAGGATGAAGATACAAGAGACACAATGAAAACTGGTGAGAAAATTGAGAATGAGGGGCCTCATACTACAAGAAAGGTCAGATTAGGACTGTCCTTCAGCACAGTCTTAGTGGCCCCTGGATTGTGCTTCTGAACCATCTGTCCTTATACATTATAATGAACACTTCAGATGTATAGAGTTGAGAGAAGGAGCATCTACTGATCCCAAGTTTTATATGAAACTTGTGCAGTTCTAGAGAATGCTAGACATTACTTTAACGATGCCTTTCATTTTGATGAGTAATAGACGTAGAACCTGTATTTAACAAGTGTTTGCTAGATAGGAGACACTTTACATACTAGCACATAGGATCTTTTAAAAACTTGTACTAGGTTGTTAAACTATTTTATAGATGGGGAAACTGAGGTCCTTTAGTGGCGTAATCTAACCATTAACATAGTTAAAAGTGTCAGACCATGGATATTGCTTGCCTTGTGATAAGTCTGTAGATTTACTTGGAACTGGTGGAGAAGAGTTTTAGTTATGAATTCTCAGGTACAAATTTTATAATCTTCAATCTGGATGTCATAATTACAAACTTATTGGAAAATTTCCAAGTTATAGCCTACCACACCTCATGTAATTTATTTTATTATGAGATTTTTACAGATTCATACTGTTTACGTCTCTGTTAGTGTATCTGAAAGACAGATGCTGGGCGAGCACTTAGAATGATCTGACTGGAACACTAAGTACAGTTTGAGCTTTCTATACATACAGCCCCTACTTCTTTAGTACTGTCATCTTGAATACCTGCTATGGCTATTGTGAGGGATGGCCCTGTTTGACCCAGAATATCCATGATGTTTTAGGAATCAGTGACCTTCAAAGATGTAGCTGTAGACTTCACCCTGGAAGAGTGGGCCCTGCTGGATACATCCCAGAGAAAGCTATTTAGAGATGTGATGATGGAGAACATTGATCACTTGGTCTTCGTGGGTGAGTGTCTAAAAATTTATCTGTCTGTATCTATCCATCTATTCAACAAGTATCTAGAACAGCTTCCTCATATCTCACTCCAGTCTCTGCCCTTTCATATCACTTACAACTACCTGAAAGACATTTACTTCTTTTTCACTTACGTCTGATTTGTCATACCACTAAAATGTAATCTTACTGAAAACAATTTCATCTCATTCTTGCTACTCAAATTCCAAAACTCAGAACATTGCTGGGAACTTGATTATGTTTTGAGTGGATAAATGGATTATATATTTTTAAAATAATTTTTCTACCCTAAGAACAATGCTCAGGCTTCAGACTGCAGTTGTAAAAAGAACAGACATATTACGTCTCACAGGAAACTTAGATTGCTTTGGTGGAGTTTATGCTTATTGAGGTTATTTTTAAAATTATAATTACCAAAAAAAACCCAAACCAAACCTGTTGCCATCGAGTTGACTACGACTCATAGTGACCCTATAGGACAGGGTAGAACTGCCCTGTAGCGTTTCCAAGGCTGTAAATCTTTACAGAAGCAGAGTGCCATATGTTTCTCTCTCGGAGTGGCTGGTAGGTTCAAACCACCAACCTTTTGGTTAGCAGCCAAGTGCTTTAATCACTGTGAAACATAATTTCTCCTTGATTGAAGATAGTAAGAATTCTGCAGTCTGTCTTTGAACTTGGGCACAGGCGTCATCTGAAAAAGAAATCAAGAAAACAATTCCTTTTGCAGTAACATCTAAAAGAATAAAATGCCTACGAAAAAACTAACTAGGATGTGGAGGACTTACATAATGAAAACTATAAAACCTGGATGCAAGAGACTAAAACAGACCTATTTAAATGGAAAGATATTCCATGCTTATGGATTGGAAAACTTAATATACAAATGTCAGTACTACTCAAAGCAATTTACAGGCTTAATGCAATTTCGATAGAAATTTCAACAGCATGTTTTACAGGAATGTAAAAACTAATTCTCACCTTTATATGGAAGACAAGAGGCCTCAAATACCAAAACAGTTTTGAAGAAGAACAAAGTAGGAGTCCTCAGACTTGTGTCAAAACACACTATACAGCCATAGTAATCCAAACACGTAGACCTGTTTAACAGTAGACACATAGGCCAGTGGTACAGAATTGAGAAACCAAAAATAAATCCATATGTCTCTGGTGAACTGATTTTTGACAAGAATGCTAAGTCCATTCAGTGGGGAAGGAACAGTCTGTTCAACAAATGGTGCTAGCAAAATTGGATTTCCACATGCAGAAAAATAAAGCAAGATCCACACCTCACACCATACACAAAAACGAATTCAAACTGGATCGAGGGCCTAAATTTTAAATCTGAAAGAATAAAGTTCCTGGAAGAAAACACAGAGACGGAAATATGGGACCTAATGATTTTTTTTTTTTTTTTTAAATTGTATTTTAGGTGAAGGCTTACAGAACGAATAGTTTCTTATGAAACAGTAGTACACATATTCTTTTATGACATTGGTTAACAACCCCACAACACGTCAACCCTCACCATTTCAGAAATTTCTACATGCACAGTTCAGTGACATCGACTACACTCTTCCAATTGTGCTGCTATTCTCACTTTAGATGAAGGCTTACAGAACAAAATAGTTTCTCATTTAATAGTACACATGTTGCTCTATGACAATGGTTAACAACCTCACAACACATCAACACTATCCTTACTCAAGCTTGGGTTCCCTATCACCAGCTTTCCTGTCCCCTTCTGCCTTCTGGCCCTTGTCCCTGGACTGCTGTGCCTCATTAGTCCCATTTGGTTTTATGGGGCTGTCCGCTCCCCAGCTGAATGGT